AGCACAGTAGCCTAGTGGCTAAAGTCCCCACCTCGCACATACCAGGATCCCATATGGGTGCCGGTTCGTGTCCCGGCTGCTCCATTTTCCATCCAGCTCCCTGCTTGTAGCCTGGGAAAGCAGTGGAGGACAGCCCAGAGCCTTGGGACCCTGCACCCGCGTGGGGGACTTGGAAGAGGCTCCTGGCTCCTGGCTGCAGATCAGCTCAGCTCTGGCCATTGCGGCCACTTGGGGAGTGAACCAGTGATGGAAGATCTTTGTCTCTCCTCGTCTCTGTAAATGTGCGTTTCTAATGAAAATAAATAAATGTGTTTTTTGTAAGTACTCTTCTTGTCCGCTGGAAGGTGAAGTGCTGCTTGCTGTATTCTGACCCGGCTCCCTGCGAGCATGCCCCAAGAGCGGCCCCGCCACCTACATGGGAAACACAGGGGGAGTTCCAGCCTCCGGGCTTTGGCTGACCCAGGCCATTTGGGGAGTGAGCCCGTGGATGGAACATCTTTCTCTCTGTCTCACCCTCTCTCCGAAAATCTGCTTCTTCCACAAAAATAGTGAGTCTTTAAAAAGAGAACCCAAACCATGTACATGGACATAAATACCTGTTAGTTCTTGGCCTGGCTGTTTTTTTTTTTTAATTTATTTTTTATTGGAAAGGCAGATATACAGAGAGGAGGAGAGACAGAGAGGAAGATCTTCTGTCCACTGAGTCACTCCCCAAGTAGCCGCAATGGCCAGAGCTGAGCTGATCCAAAGCCAGGAGCCAGGAGCCTCTTCCGGGTCTCCCACGCGGGTGCAGGGTCCCAAGGCTTTGGGCCGTCCTCCGCTGCTTTCCCAGGCCACAGGCAGGGAGCTGGGTGGGAAGTGGGGCTGCCGGGACTCGAACCAGCGTCCATATGGGATGCTGGTGCTTGCTGGTGGAGAGTTGGTCAATTAAGCCGTCATGCCAGGCCCCAAGTTACTCCTTCCTCTTGTCTCACTGCATGGGCCACCGCCACAGCTGCCTTCTGTGCTGCAGGCTTGTGGGCAAAGCCCAGAGGCAACCAGGGATTAAAGGACCTGGCAGGGGATGAACCTGGGCCCCAGAGTGTCCCATGGCCCTCAAGTGACTGCCCAGCCTGCCTTGGCATATAGAATTCACCAGTCTCCAATCGGCCCACCCTGCAAAGACAGGGCGACCCCGAAACAGACACAGCGGGAGCACTGGCACCCACTGCGGGAGGCCAAGCTTGGGCTGCAGCCTGGGGCTCCATCTGGATCCCTGTCCCCAACCCCGTGGGTGGGAGGGACCCAAATGCCCGGCTGTGCCCGGCTGTCTCGCAGGGTGTGCGCGTACGCAGGGAGCTTGCGTCCGAGTGGTGATGGGAGCATTGGTGTAACTGTGTGTGCCAAAGCCAATGGCTTTTGGTGTTGAGGTTCAAGTCCTGACTGCAAATTTGAAACTTTGCTTTTTAATAAAACTTATTATTATCAGAAAGGCAGATCTACAGAGAGAAGGAGAGACAGAGAAAGATCTCCCATCAGCTAGCTCATTGCCTAAGTAGCTGCAATGGCCGGAGCTGCGCCAATCTGAAGCCAGGAGCCAGGAGCTTATTCCAGGTCCTTCACAAGAGTGCAGGGTCCCAAGGCTTTGGGCCGTCCTCCGCTGCTTTCCCAGGCCACAGGCAGGGAGCTGGACGGGAAGTGGGCCTTGAACCATCCACCATATGGTATGCTGGCGCGTGCAGATGGAGGCTTAGCCAGTGAGCCATCACACGCCAGTCCAAACTTGAAGTTTTTCAAGGACTGCCATCAGTCTTCAGTGGCCTGGGGGTGCTGTCCCGGCTCCCCACCCCTCCCTCTGGCCCCCCGCCCCGGGGGCCAGCCCCTCGCCTTACCCGTAAGAGTGCCCAATGAGGATGTTACGTTTCTTGGCATAGCGCTTGAAGATGGCTCTCATGTCCTCGGCCAGCGCGTAGAAGGTGTAGGCGGCCGCCACGTGGGGCGCCGAGCTGGCCCCGTGGCCCGCCAGGTCGGGGGCCACCACCTCGTAGCCGAGGTGCACGAAGAAGTCCAGCTGTTCCTTCCAGATGGCCAAGGAGCCGCCGACACCATGGATGAAGAACAGGACGACGTCGGCCTGCGCGCCCTTGCAGCTGGTGATGCGCTTCTCGCAGTCTATGTGAATGGTCCTTTTGGGCCGCCGTGCCCGTCGCCGCCGCCCGCCGCTGCCCGGGGTCGCGCGGCCGCCCTCGCCGCCTCCTCCTGCTCCAGCCTCGGCCAGCTCCACCTCCACGGCGGCCGGGGGCTCTCCGGAGCCGCTCTGGCCATGCAGCAGGTCTGCGCGCGGGGCCCGGCCCAGGTTCTCCACCAGCAGGCGCCCGCTGCGGTACACGGTGATCCGCCGCTGGCAGTGGACCAAGCCGGACCGGTCACCGTGGGCCTCATCCTCCCGCGCAGGGGGCGGCGGCGGCGGGGGCGCGGGCGTGGGGCCCGCATGCTTTACGCGCAGCACGCGGCCCGGCTTGACCTCCACGAAGGTGTAGCCGTCGCTGGACTCGACGCTGTCCAGGGGCCCCACGGCGTTGGGGGATGTGCCCAGGAGGCAGCAGAAGAAACCCTGGGTCACTCCGGTCAGCATGGTGCGTCCTGCAAACGGAGGAGGGCGTACAAGAGGCACCTCATTTCTGCAGGTGCAAGCGGTGGCACCTGCCAGGCCAGGCTGGCACCCTGCACCCAGGGCCGCTGCTGCCAGCCAGCCCTCCGGCCCTGGGCACCTTGGCTGCGCGTAGGTCCCCGCAGGGCCTTCCCTGGACCTGCTGGAGGAGGGGTCAGTGGACTTCCTGCAGGAAGAGTCCCCCCCATACGCTCAAGTTCATTGATTCACCCCTGCTCGCTTGCTCTTTCTTAAACCCGCACGGCCTTGCAGCCGCTCCTGGGATTAGGAAAGAAAAAAAAAGGCGCAAATCCTCAAGCAGGCAGTCTGCGCTGCAGGATGAGGCCTCGCCCGCGCTGCCAGGGCCAAGCTCCAGGTGCTTCTGGGGTCTGCTCCCTCAGCGCCCCCTGCAGCCTCCAACCCCTGCTGGCCACGAGAGCCCAGGAACTGGACGCTGTGTCCAGCGGCCTCCAGGCCCGCACCCGGCTCCCCCGTGACTATGGCAACCACGGACAGTTACATAACTCCGGGGGTATCACCGCGCAGCGCACCCCCGCCCCCCATTGTCTCAGGCCTAGCGACAGGACCGAGCCTCTGCCGCCCCTTGGGGGGCCCTGGGGACCCCGCAGGTGTGGCTGGCAGCGCCCCTCGCTTCCCCCCGCGCACACACACACCGCTGCGGGGTGGGGGGCGCAGGTGCACCGTGCCAGCCTCCCCGCACCCCGTCTGCCTGCCAGCCCTGCGCGGCCGCAGGCCTCCGGGGTCGTCTTCTAGGAGCCCCCCGCAAGCCAGGCTGCGTGCGTGGACAGCCCCCCATCACCACCACCACCACCACCACCCCGGCCTCCACGGCCCCAGGCGCAGCAGGCCTGGGGAGGCGGGCACACGGACGCGCTCACCTCATGGAGCGCCCCGGGAGCCCGGGGCGGAGAAAGGGGCCACCGTCTCCAGGCCGCGCCGTTTACATGGTGGCTGGCGCGCGGTCGGGCGGCCGAGCGAGCGCGGGGCTCCGGGCGCCCGAGCAGCGCATCCCGGCCAGGAGCCGGCCCTTTAAGTCCCTCCCCGAGAGGGCGGGGCTGCGCGCCGACGGGCGGGCGCGTCGGCCTATGAGAGCCGCGGGCTGGCTCGGCCTCGTTACGAGGCCCAATCCGGGGAGGCCTGCCCAGGGTGGGGGCGGGCTCTTGGCGTCCTGGCCACGCCTCTTTGGGGGAGGTAGGGGGAGGAGCCCCTGTGGCCTGGGTCCGCTGGGGCGATGAGGGCAGCCCCGGCCCCTGCAGCGCCCCCTTCCTTCTCCTTCTCCGCGCGTGGGCCCTTCTATTCTAAGGGGGCGGGATGAGGAAATGCCTGCGGTGCAAGGGCACGAGTCTAGCATTGCAGGGAGACGGGGATTCGAACCCATGGCTGTGCAGTGCTGGCAGTCAGGCCTCTGTCCTTGAGGTGGTGGGTTCATCAGGGATTCAACATTGCATAACCCATTTAACTGGTGGCTGCATGCTCAGCAGGAGGTGAGCGGCCAGGGGTGGACGCCCAGGCTGGGGTTCAGTCCCTGCCCAATGACCTTGAATTTCCCTGACTTATGTGGGTCAGGTGCACACCAGGCTGCCTTGCACACCACCCAGGGCTTACCCACTTCATTCTTGCAGCTAGGGAAGGCAGGGGGAGAGATGTGCCAGCTGCAGGGATGGGGGGCACTGCAAGGCTGTGCCAGCAGGGCAGGGGTGTGTGTGCAGGGCTGGTCACCCCTGCAGCAGGGCCTAGGTAGGCTGTGCGAGCAGGGCAGGGGTGTGTGGGGAGGGCTGGTCACCCCTGCCTGCTCCAGGGCCTCAGCAGGCTGTGCGAGCAGGGCAGGGGCGTGAGTGCAGGGCTGGTCACCCCTGCCCGCTGCAGGGCCTCAGCAGGCTGTGCGAGCAGGGCAGGGGTGTGTGGGGAGGGCTGGTCACCCCGGCTCCAGGGCCTCAGCAGGCTGTGCGAACGACGAGCCGGTTCAGACACCGTATGGCCAGTTGGCCGTCCAGGGCGAGCTTGGCTCCTGAAGACACCCCAGCCGGGCAAGGGGCAGGACCCACTCAAGGACACGCACACGCTGCACCGGAGGTTTCCCGGGCGCCTCGCCCAGCGGGGCGGAGACTTGGCTGCGGCCAGAGCAGATCGACGGCCAGCTGCGTGCCATGTGTCCGGCGGGAGGACCAGCTGCACCGCGGCCACTCCGGGGAAGGGCAGAAAACTACAACTCCCAGCATGCCGTGCTGCGCGCACGCGCCCCTGCGCTCGCCCGACTGCGCTGCGCAGGCGTGCGACTACAACTCCCGATGTCCCCCGCGGCTCTCGGAAGGAACTACATTTCCCAGGAGGCTAGAGCAGCGTTCCCGAATGGCGGCGTGAGCGGCGGGACATGTCTCTCTGGGTGGGCTCCCTCCTCGGCCGCGGCGCCGGTTCGGCCGCCCTGCTGGCTGGCAGGTGAGTCCTAGGGGTCAGGGGGCTGCGGGGCCGGGGGTCGGGGGCCGGGGCCCGCCGCACGTGAGCGCCCCCCGCGCGCCCTCTGACCCCTGACCGCCCCCCGACCCCCGCAGGTGCCTCCTGCAGCCTGGGCCGAGCGGCGGCCTCCTGGGCGCGCTGTCCACCCGCGGTAAGGCCCGCGGCAACGAGTACCAGCCCAGCAACCTGAAACGCAAGCACAAGCACGGCTGGGTCCGGCGCCTGAGCACGCCGGCCGGGGTGCAGGTGCTGCTGCGCCGGATGCTCAAGGGCCGCAAGTCGCTGAGCCACTGAGGGCCAGCCGGCGCGAGGACCCCCGAGCCGGCCTGCAGCCTGCGGGGACCCCCGAGCCGGCCTGCAGCCTGCGGGGACCCCCGAGCCCACCTGCAGCCCACGAGGACCCCCGAGCCGGCCTGCAGCCTGCGGGGACCCCTGGAGCCCACCTGCAGCCCACGAGGACCCCCGAGCCGGCCTGCAGCCTGCGGGGACCCCCGAGCCCACCTGCAGCCCACGAGGACCCCCGAGCCCACCTGCAGCCCACAGGGACCCTCGAGCCCGCCCTGCAGCCCACAGAGACCCCTGAGCCCACCTGCAGCCTGCGGGGACCCCCGAGCCCGCCTGCAGCCCGTGGGGACCCCCGAGCCCACCTGCAGCCCACGAGGACCCCCGAGCCCACCTGCAGCCCACGAGGACCCCCGAGCCGGCCTGCAGCCCACGAGGACCCCCGAGCCCGCCTGCAGCCTCGGGACCCAGCCCACCTGCAGCCGTGGGACCCGACCCCTGCAGCCCACAGGACCCCCGTGCCGCAGCCCGCGGGGACTCCCGAGCCCACCTGCAGCCCACGAGGACCCCCGAGCCCGCCTGCAGCCCACAGGGACCCTCGAGCCCACCCTGCGGCCCACAGGGACCCCTGGAGCCTTCCCTGCAGCCCGCGGGGACTCCCGAGCCCACCCTGCGGTCCAAAGGGACCCCTGGAGCCTTCCCTGCAGCCGGCGTGGGGACCCCTGGAGCCTTCCCTGCAGCCTGCGGGGACCCCCCAAGCCGGCCTGCAGCCTGCGGGATCCCATCCCCCAAGGCCACCTCCAGCCTGCGAGGAACCCAGAACTCACCCTGCAGCCCGTGGGGACCCCAGTGCCAGCCTGACCACTGACCACACCCCATGACTGGCCTGACCACTGACCACCCTGTGGGGTCAGCGTGGTCCACCTCAGACATCTGTAAATGAGGAGTTGGCGTGGGAAAGGGGACTGGAAGTGAAATGTGAGTCCCCCAACTCTAACCTCAGGCTCCCAGGACCGACCCTGACCACTGGCCACAACCTGTTCTGTTGGAGCCGAATGTTGGGGTCCCAGCTTGGGCCCACCCAAGGACTGGCCATGCCCGCCCCGACCCCTGGCTTGGAAACCTCATTAAATGTCTGCCAGTGTCCACATTGGAGCACTCTGTCTTCTTAAAAAAAAAGAAAAAAAAAAAGATTTTTATTTGAAAGGCAGATATATATATATATAGAGAGAGATTCTCCATCTGCTGGGTCACTCCCCAAGTAGCCGCAACAGCCAGAGCTGAGCTGATCCAAAGCCAGGAGCCTCTTCAGGATCTCCCACATGGGTGCAGGGTCCCAAGGCTTTGGGCCGTCCTCCACTGCTTTCCCAGGCCACAGGCAGGGAGCCGGATGGGAAGTGGGGCTGCCGGGACTTGAACAGGTTCCCTTATGGGAGGCTGGTGCTTGCAAGGTGAGGACCTTAGCCACTAGGCCCCACTCTGTCCTGTGTGTGCCGTGAGCAGATCCTCCACCTGCCCCTGAGGGGGGTCACCTGCGCCCCGAGGGACGGTCAGGTGGGGGACTGGGCAGCAGGGCAGAGGGGCATGGAATTGGGGGGTGTTGGAGGACTGACTCCATGCTTGGTGGATCCCGAAGATCCCACAGGTATGGGAGCCATTCCTAGATAGGGTGAATGTCAGGGTAAGAGCTCGAGGAGACTGTTGGGGGCCCATGTTTGGGACCTCAAGAGACACTGAGGAGAAAGAAAGGGGAGACAGGGAGACCTTGGGGAGGAAAGAACGCGGTGCTGGGGAGACAGGGAAACCTCTGGCTGCAGCGAACTACGGCCTTCCAGCTGCATGCCAGCTGTGAACTACAACTCCCAGGAGGCTGTGCTGAGGGGCCCCGCCCACTTCCGGGCCTCGCCTCCCTTTGGCTTCTCCGGCCCGGGCGGGGTTTTGCTTCTTCCACCGCACTTGGTCATCCAGGGAGGAGGCGTGGCGACCAATGGGCGCGCGAGCTGTCCGCCCCTGGCCAATGGGTCCGCGCGGAGGGCGGGCCTCGCGGGGGCGGGGCCTGCCCTCGGGCCAATGACGGCGGGCGCTGGCGCCATCACGGTGCGCTGTGCCGTGGCTGGAGTTACTGTGCGGCGGCGGCGGCGGCGGGGACGGCGGCGGAGGCAGAAGATGGTAAGGGCGGCCTTCGCCATGGCGCCGCGGGCCCCGCGCCCCGCCGGCTCTGCCCTCGGGGCCCCCCTGCCGCGCCGGGCTCGGGCCCCGCCCCTCCGGCTGACCTATGGCCTTCGACCCCCGCCCCATTCCTGCCACCTGGGCTGACCCCGCCCAGCTCCGGCTCCGACCCCTGACCCCTTCGGGGCTTCCAAGGCCTTGACAACTCATTCATTTCCGGGTCGCGCGCTTGCCCCGGCCCCCCAGGGCGCCCCCGGAAGAGGCCTGCGGTGGGGATCGGGGTGGGGGGTCCCCGAGATCCTCCCTGGAGCCCACCGATCCCCTCCTGGGTGGGGAAGGGGCGGTGCACCTGCCGGCGGCCGACATCACCCCAATCCCCGCCGCGATCCCCGATCAAGCCCCGATCCCACCTCACCCCATCTCACCCCCATCCCACCCGATCAAACCCGATCAAGCCCCGATCCCACTTCGCCCCCATCTGGACATCACCCCATCCCCGCCTCACCCCGATCCCCGATCAAACCCCGGATCCAATCCCCATCCCGATCTCACCCTGATTCTGCCCCGATCCCCATCAAAACCCCCCATCCGCACCTCGCTCCCTGATGCCCCACCTCACCCCTGGTCCCCATATCACCCCTGGCCCCGTCCTCACCACCAAGCCCTCCCTGGCTTCCTCCTCCGTCTGTCCCCTGAGAAGGAGCCCTGGGACCCCGGCCTGGCCCTGCCCATTGAGGGGTGGGTGGAAAGGGGACATGGCCTCCTGGTTGGGGTCTGGCAGTGTGGCGAGGCAGCTGAAGCCGCTGCAGGGGTGATGGTGGGACGTTTGGCCCCTGGAGACAGTCAGCCCTCACACTCCTGGTCCTGGTGTGTGGGGGAATTGGTGGAGGGGATGTGGGGAGGCAGGCCTGGGGTCCCCCAGCCTTGGGATTGTTCTCGGTCTATCAGGGCACCCCGCACCCCACCCCAAGTGCTCCTGTAGATTCTGTGGAGCCCACCGGCCTGGCTCTCCTGCCTGGCAGCTTCCCCCTCTTCCCGGCTGGTCCCCTGGCTGGACCCCAGCCCCTCACCTGGCACCTGCCATGGCCCCTGCCCAGCTCTGTGACATCGCAGCCCTGCCACGTGGGGGTGTTGGGTGAGACTGCGTGTGTGCTCAGGGACTGGAGTTGGGGTGGGGGACCCCTGCTCTCCCTTCAGCTCAGTGCTCACATGATCCCCAGATTGGCCGCCCCCAGCCCCCCGCACCGTCCTGGGCCTCTCACGGCGGCCACTGCCTGAGGCCGGAGCAGGGCGGCTGTGTCACTCACCCTGGCACCCCACGCCCAGCCACGCAGTAGGGGGGCATTGGGGACCTGGTGTCACAGCCCTCCAGGTTCAGCCACCTTCCCGTCACATTGCCCCATTCAAGTCCCGACTGCTCTATTTCCCATCCAGCTCCCTGCGTGTGGCTTGGGAAGGTGGCAGAGGAGACCCTAGGACGCTGGGTGGCCGGCTCCCAGCTTCAGCCTGGCCCAGCCCCACAACCACAGCAGCCATTTGAGGGACTGAGGCAGCAGAGGGAAGATCTCTCTCTGCCAACCATTTAAATAGATGACCGTTTCGCTGAAAAGAGGAGAAAGCTTGACCTGGGGTGTGGGGCTGAGCTGTGGTTGGGGGCAGGTCCGAGGGGCTCCGGGTGGAGCTGTCTCCTCCCGCTGGTTCTGGGTCATGCGAATCTTCGGGCACCTGCTAGCTGGGGCGGAGGGGGGGAGCAATGGGGGCTGCCTGTTGACATTCCAGTGCCCTGAGTTGGCCTGGGGGAGGTGGGGGCCCAGTGGGACTGGGGAGGGGCGCTGAGTCCCAGGAAGATCCACCTCCCCCCCTCCCAGGAAGTTACAGGGGAGCCCTAGGGCCTTTTGTAAGGTCCAGGGTTCTGTCGTGTGTGTTTTTCTGAAAGGCCAAGTGAGCAGAGGCTGAAGCCGGGAGGTGGAGAAGCCGGGCCTTGAACCTGTGTCCCCTCCTCCATGGCAGGCTGGCTGATCTTACACACACCCCACTGTGTCCTTGTCCTCCCATGGGGACGGGCAGCACCTGCAGGTGTGACATCACACATAGCCCTCCCACGCGTCCCTGACCAGGCCTGACAGGGTCCGGAGGGCCTTGCAAGGGCCTTCCCAAAGCCCCGGCGTTGGGGGTTGTGGAGCCAAGGGCATCCTGACGCTCGTGTGGACCCTCACCGGGTTAGCCCACCACCCACAACGTCAGTATTCCATAGGGGCACCAGTTTGTGTCCCGGCTGCTCCACTCCCCTTCCAGCTCCCTGCTTGTGGACTGGGAAAGGACGGCCCAAATCCCTGGGACCCTGCACCCGCGTGGGAGACCTGGTGATGGTCTAGGCTCCTGGCTTGGGTATGGCCAACCAACCCTGGCCCTATTGTAGCCCATTTAGGGAGTGAGCCAGCAGAAGATGAAAAATCTGTCTCTATCTGCCACTCAGTAATTATACATTCCAGTCAAAACAAAAAAGCTGTCCCCTTAAAAAGTACCCTGGGGCTAACCATGGCCAACCACCTACATCAGGATCCCGCCCCCTAGCCTCCAGATGCTGGGGACACGGGCTCTGGCCACCCCTGTGCCCTGGCGTGTCCGTCCACTGGCCAGCCTCCGTGTTTCCTGCCCCTGCTGCCCGGGCGGGCTGTCAGGTGGGGCCAGAGAACCAAGGCCAGCAGGCTCTGTGCCCTGTGTCCTGCCCCTGTGTGTTTAGTGGGTTACCAAGTGCAGTGCCCCGGGGAGCAGCCGCCACCTGCCGTCCCCTGGGTTACCCCTTCTCCCAGAGCCTCAGGGGGTCCGCCTGGTACAGGGGTACGGGGCAGCAGCGTTCCGGGGGGGGAAGGAAATGAGGGGGCCAGGACGCCGGCCTGGGCCCTCAGCCACCCATGCACCCACCCCCCCCCTTCCTGTGTTACAGGCAGATTTTTTTTTTTAGTTTTATTTTTATTTATTTTTTTCAGGCAGATTTTTTGAAAGGATTGCCTGTGTACAACAAAAGCAATTTTAGCCGATTCCACGCCGACTCCGTCTGCAAAGCCTCGGTAGGCACGGTGGGCAGGTGCAGCAACCCTGGGGGGCTGGGGCGCATGGGGAGGTGTGGGATGGGGGACAGGGTGGGGAGGTGGCAACGAGCAAAGCCTCGTGGCACGCTGGGCACTTACGCCGACCCCAGGAAACAGCTGGGGTGCACAGGGAGTGGGGAGGGTGGGGAGGTGGCAGCTAGAGGCTAGGAGAAGGCGCTTAGGTGGTGTGGTCCGGCCAGCCCCCTGTCCTGGCGCGGCGTCCTGGCGCGGCGTCCTGTGTGCGTGGAAGGGTGGGGTGCTGGAGGGAGGCACCCGAGACCCCTCACCCCCTCCCTGCCCAGACCCGCCCACACCTCCTGACTCACCCCTGCCCCGCCCCCTCCCGCAGAACCGGCGTCCCTCAGTCTACCTGCCCACTCGAGAATACCCCTCCGAACAAAGTAAGTAGCCGGAGTCTCCGGGTCCTAGGCCTGGGGGCCCGCCAGCACCTGCCCCTCACCCCCGCGCCCCCAACTTGGGGACCTCCTGAGCTGACAGGTGTCCGTCTGCACGTGGGGTCCGTCATCCGGCCCCAGACCGCACATGTGGGGGAGCCCAGACCACCCCCTCAACCACCATCACGCACACATACACCCAGGGCCATGCGCGTAGTTGCTCGCACGCACGCGAGCACAGGGGTGTGTGTATGTGTGTGTGTGCGTGCGCGCGCGCACTGGGCTGGCTCCCCAGAGAGGCCGGGGATCCTGCGCGTGGCCGCTGCTTGGAACACGAAACGCGCAGGCAGGCGTCCCGGACTGCGCCCTCCCTCCCCTCCTCCCCACTCCCCTTGCACCCCTGGAGTCCCAGAACCCCCCGGGCAGCGCCCACCCTGCGCCCCAGCACTGAGCCTCGCCTTCTCTTCCCTCCCCAGTCATCGTCACCGAGAAGACCAACATCCTCCTACGTTACCTACATCAGCAATGGGACAAGAAGGTGGGTGAACAGGGCAGGGCCAGGGCTGTGGAGGATCCAACGTGGGGCTGGGGCCAGGGAGGACGGGGCCGGGAGGACGGGGCAGGGGAGGATGGGCCCGGGGAGGACGGGGCAGGGGAGGACGGGGCTGGGGAGGACGGGGCAGGGGAGGATGGGGCTGGGGAGGACGGGGCAGGGGAGGACGGGGCAGGGGAGGATGGGGCAGGGGAGCATGGGGCAGGGGAGGATGGGGCTGGGGAGGACGGGGCAGGGGAGGACGGGGCAGGGGAGGACGGGGCAGGGGAGGATGGGGCTGGGGCAGTAGGAACTGTCCAGGCCTGGCCCCCTCCCTGCAGCGTCTGGCCGCAGTCCTGGACGTGGGAAGACTCGATGGTGTGGACCTAGATTTTGATACTGTGGCCGGTCTCCGCCCCATTTTCCTTTTAAATGGAAATCTCCCCACGTCATTCCACAACTTAATCGCTTTAAGGGGAGTCCACAACCGTGACCTCGACCTTGTCGCTGCCTCCTCACACCCCCACTTCCCGGCTGCCAGGGCCTCATAGGCCTTGTGTGTGTGTGTGTGTGTGTGGAGGGGGGGTCCCAGTAGCAGTAAAACACCTTTTCCCAGACGCACACACCTTCCGGGACCCCTGGCCCCTGGTACGGGACACACGGAGCCACTGGGGGCCTGTGGCCCTCGAGGGGGACAGTGCTGGGAGTGCTGCCCGCCGCAGCCCCGGCTGGCCGGCTCCCGCACCCGCAGCGGAGACTTTGAGGCCCTGTCCTCGTCCCTTCTTTCCGATCCCCTAGAATGCTGCCAAGAAGAGAGACCAGGAGCAGGTGGAGCTGGAGGGCGAGAGCTCGGCGCCGCCGCGCAAGGTGGCGCGGACGGACAGCCCGGACATGCACGAGGACACCTAGGGCGCGCGTCCCCGCCAGGCTCCTCGTGCCCGCGCGCCCGCCGCGTGTAAGCGCCCCCAGCCCGCGCGCCCCCGCCCGCCGCTCCCGCCCCGCCCCGTCCGCATCACTTCCAACCTCATAGCTGTCGATGTATTTATTTTCCGTGAGTTTTTATTTATGCTGTAATCTGTCTTGGAGCGTTGGTTAAAGGGGCCGACAGACCCAGTAGTGTGATGTCGTCGTCGCTAGATGCTTTTTACAAACCACATGGTCGGTTCCCCGTCCTGCCTTCCCCACGACCTTGCCCACCTCCTCCCTGCCCTCTCCACCCCCCCGCCCCAGCCCGGGGAGCCCCAGGATGGCTGGGGGCCTCCGGGGACATCGGACATGGAGTGGCCTTCTCTGCCCGCCCGCCCGTCTGCGCCATGCCCGGGGGGCACCTCGGGGCGTGGCCTTGCCTGGTGCGCGGTGGGGCGCCCTCTGCCCCTTCTGGATCTTTCATTTTTTTTTCTCACGGACTAGCTCCAGTGTCCACCCCAATAAAAGGATGTTTCCTATTCCCTTGGCGTCTTTGCTCCGCCTGCCTCGGCTGGAGGATGGAGCCCGGCTCACCCCCAAGGTCCACCCTGGCCTTGGCACGGGGAGGCCTGTGTGGCCCTGGGCCCGAGGTATGGCACTGGTGGAGCAGGCATCTAGCAGGTTCAGGCTGCCTGTCCAGGCGTCTTCAAGGAGCCAGGCGGGAGTGGGGAAGCGGGCACAGCGGCATCCTGCAGGCGCACCCGGGGGTGCCATGTGGGAGGGACGCTGTGGGCACCTGGCAGGGGTGGGCACGGGCTCCCCAGGTGTCAGGGGGTCACAGCGAGCGGGCTTCCCCACCCTGAGGTGACGCAAGAGCCTGGGGGCCGCTCCCATCCTGTCCCATGAGAGAATCTCAGGTCTGGAACCTGTGGCTGTGTGGTGTGCGCACACACACACACACACACACACACACACACACACACACACACAGGCACACTCCCTCCCTCCGGCCAGAGCCTGGCCCATGAGCACACTGGCTGCCCCTGTCTCCACCTCCGGGGTACTCTGCACCCCAACATTCTTCCACATGCCCACACTGCCTGTCCGTCTCCACACCACGGGGCCCGCCCCTTCCGCCCCAGCCCCAAGGCTTGACCACATCCGGGTGAGCTGGACCCAGGAGGGACTGGCTGGCCTCCTCCCATCCCCCTAGCCACCGCCCAGAGGTCACACAAGACTCTTAATGAATGGGTGTGTAGCAGGCACCCCAATGCCTTGTCCTCAGCCTCAATGTCTTGACTCTGCGTCCTGGGGCAGGCCCCGCACCCCCAGATTCTCCTTGTCTCCACCCCCCTCCCTCTGGCATCCCAGGAAGCCACGAATAGCAGGTGCAACCTGTCCCCGAGGGGCCAGCCTAGCCTGGGCTGTGGCTGAGTGCTCACAGCCCTCCGGCTTGGTCCTGCTGCTTCTCCCTGTTCCTGGGGGGCCTTGGAGAAAGCGCCCCCTCCCCTTCGGGCCACTGGCATGGGGGAAGGGTCAGTCCCCTCCCCCCAGTGAGCACGCTCTCCACAAGGCCCCACCTCAGGCACTGTTGAAATATACTTTTTATTGCATTTTCTGCCGTCTTTACAAAAATATGACAAAATAAATTAAAAACAAATAAATAATCGCCTATTCTTTGTAATGTTTTCCTATTGGATTTTGTGTGTGTTTTGGGGGGAGGGGTGATTGGCTGCCTTTTTTCCCCCCTCCTCCACCTCTCGGTGGAAAGGGAAGCGGCAGATGGGGGGTTCCCCCCTGCACACACACAGAGCCCTGGGAGGAGGCCGGGAGGAGCTAATGCCAGCCGCTGGGCCAGCACACGGCCTGGGGGCTGGGGCTGGGGCTGGGCGAGGGCGCGGGGGTCGCGGGGGGCTCCGAGGCGGGCGGCGACGGTGGCGGCGGCGGAGGGAGGCTGTAGAAGCTGGCGTCCCCCTGCAGCGGCTGCGCGCCGGGCGGCCCGGCCAGGGCGCAGGGCGGACAGTCGGTGGGCGCCGGGGCCGGGCGGGAGGCGGTGCCCTCGCCCCCGCAGCCCCACGGCCCGTCCCACTGCCAGCAGCCGGCGGGCGGCGTCGGGGGCCGGGGCGGCGCGGGGCTCCGGCGGGCGCGCAGGGCGGGGGCCGGCGCTGTCCCTGCGGGGGAGGCGAGACGGGCCGTTCCGGGGGAGCCGCCGCCCCGGCCCCCGCGCCCCCTTCCCCGCACTCGCAGGCACATGGGAAACCCTTATTGCTTCAGATCAGAGACTGGGGGTGGGGGCTCGGGGCAGCCCCTGGGCACTGGCCCCTCCCAGCCTGGGGGAAGGGGCAGGAGGGAAGCTGAGGCAATCCCTGCAGCCTCTGAGACCTCGGGCTGATCTCTAGGGGCCAAGGTTTGGAGGTACGCAGAGCCAAGGTGGGGCAGGGTGTGTGTGTGTCTGGGGCAGCTAGGCACAGCCTGTCTCTGGGGGGGGACCCTGAGCTTGCCGGGTGGGTGGCCCCAGCCTCCACTTCCAAGAAGGCCTCCGGAAACATGTGAGCTGCTGGGTGGGGCATTGCATAGAGGCCTGGGGGGCGGGGTGGAGTCCCCCCAGAGTGGACTGGGTGAAGGGGTCTGGTGGGGAAGGAGAGGCTGGAGCCTCCCTTTTGTCTCCTGGCACTCTGGGAAACGGGAGAATGTGGGGATCCTCCTTGTTGGGGGGGTGGGCAGCGAGGAGGGTCAGGCGCAGGGCTCCCAGCTCTCCAGGGGCCGGAGCGAGTGTCCTCGGACCTACTTCCCCCCAACACCCCGGCTGGCTCCAGCCCCGTGCCACCCTCGCCCTCCGCACCCCCAAGCCAGCCGGGCATCCCCACCCCCGAGTTAAAGCTTGTGACCTGAGCCTTCCTCCTCCGCCCGGGGCGCCTCCGGCTCTTCGGCTGCGGCCTCCTCCGCCTGCCCGCTCCGCTGGGCCCGGCCACTTCCACCGCCGCCTCCTGGGGTGCAGTCGGCCCGCACCTGCCCTGCCGCTCCGTTGGAGCCGGCCTCGGCCCGGGCGCCCCCAAAGGGGAACAGCTTTCCGGCGTGGAAGGCCTTGGGCGGCGAGTGGCTGCGCTCGGGGTCCCGTCGGGTCTCGGGCGACTTGAGGAATTTGAAGCTGAGAAAGGCGGGCAGACGGGTGTCTCCGGTGGGCGACTGGGCGGGGGGCGGCCGGGGCGCGGTGCCAGCCCCCGTGGTGGCCAGCGACGACGAGGAGGAGGAGGAGGACGCGGTCCCGGATGACGACAGAAACTTGCCCTGCAGCGGTATGATTTGTTTGAGCTTCATGACGTTGTTGGGTGCCAGCAGGGACCCCGGGCGCTTGGGCCGCTCTCCCGCGCCGCTGCCCTTGGCCTTGGCAGAGGACTTGTCGGAGGAGGAGGAGGACGACGACGAGGCGGCGGAGGAGGAGGCCGGGGCGGCGGGGTCCTGCCCGGAGCCCTCAGCCGCGCGCCCCTCGTCGCGGCTGGCATCGCGCTCGCGCCGGGCGTGGTGCTCCGCGTGGCGCTGGCGCTCCTCCTCTTCTCGCCTCCGTCGCTGCTGCTGCTGGTAGCGGTGCTGGGCCTGGCGCTCGTGTCGCTGTGTGGGTCGGGGAGGAACCCGGGCCGGGTGTCAGCCAGGGACCCGAGGGAGTCGGAGCACGGGGACCCGAGGGAGCCGGGGCGCGGGAGCCGAGGGAGCCGGGGCGCGGGGACCCGAGGGAGCCGGGGCGCGGGGACCCGAGGGAGTCGGAGCGAGGGAGCCAGAGCGCGGGGACCCGAGGGAGTCGGAGCGCGGGGACCCGAGGGAGCCGGAGCGCGGGGACCCGAGGGAGTCGGAGCGCAGGGACCCGAGGGAGCCGGAGCGCAGGGACCCGAGGGAGTCGGAGCACAGGGACCCGAGGGAGCCGGGGCGCGGGAGCCGAGGGAGCCGGAGCGCGGGGACCCGAGGGAGTCGGAGCACAGGGACCCGAGGGAGCCGGGGCGCGGGGACCCGAGGGAGTCGGAGCGAGGGAGCCAGAGCGCGGGGACCCGAGGGAGTCGGAGCGCAGGGACCCGAGGGAGCCGGGGCGCGGGGACCCGAGGGAGCCGGAGCGCGGGGCCCCTGCACACACGGACGGAGCTGCAAGCGCTCATTGGACACCCACTGGATGCCACTGGGCAAACCTCCCCCATCTCCGTTCCTTTCCAATGAGCCAGCCGCCACCTGCAGCCAGGGCGTTGGGGGAGAAGCAAGGACGGGGCACCCAGGACCCCATCCACGGCCCACCATGTCCCTTCCCCGCCTGACCCAGCCCCGCAGGGCCATTCCCATCAGGCTACCTTGAAGGCCTCCCGCCGCTGGTACTCCAGTTTGGCCATTTCCTCGGCCACCCAGCCTGGGATGTCCGGGATAGCCACGTGGATGAGGTACTTGAGAAGTAGAGCAAAGTGCTATGGGGATAGAGATGTGACTGTAGGCTACACAGCAGCCACTATGTACCCCTTGGCTTCACGCCCCCCTCTCCCCCGGAGGAAGCGGGGTGCCCACCAGCCTACCTCAAGCACCACCACAGACACGATGGCCGCCTCCGGGCTCAGCCAGGGGAACAGGCGCTGCAGCTGCCCGCACTGGCCGATGAGGTAGCAATTGACCATGATGGCTAGCACGCCCATGGCTTCCATCACCTTCTGCAGGGGTGGGGTGGCGCGAGGGGGAGAGGGCGGTTCAGGTGGGGTGGGAGGGTCCCTGGCTGCTCCTCCTCCCCTCCCCCGTGGCCCACCTGCCACTGGCCGATGCTCTCCACGCGCTGGCCGAAGGGCCGCTGCAGGCCGGTGCACAGCTTGAAGGCGTCACTGCGGATCTCAATGAGGTTGTTGATGAGCGCGCAGAGCGCGGCCAAGGGGAAGGCGGACGAGAAGAGGACCACGTAGCCGAACTGCACAAACATCTCCTGGTAATCCTGGAAGGTGTCCTGGAAGAGGCGGCGGTGCCAGAGCCCGTTCAGGGTGCCTGCCTCGCTGAGCCCCTCCGTTCCTCCGGGACTACCCTGACCCCCACGCCTCACCTCGTATTTCTTCATGCAGCTCTCCAGCTCGGCCTGGGTCAGCTGTGGCGAGTGCTCCTCCTCGGGTGGGTCGATCCAAGACGACCGGTTCTGCCGCCTCTGCTTCCCGGCGGACTCACCCGTGGAGCCGGGCTCGGGGTCAGGGCCGCCATCGGGCCCCTGGTCTCGCCCCTCGCCCCCGGCCCGGTGCAGCAGGACGGTGGGGGGCTCGCTGCGTTCGGGGCTACCGGCTGCCCCCTCGGTCTCGTCGTCCTCTTCCTCAGTCAGGGTGAACACACCCGGTTCTAGGCCCTTCTCTACCATGGTGGGGCTGCCCTCCTCCAGGAAGGCTTCCGGGCTTGGTCCTGGTCGCCGCCGCCCGGCGCCCCTTTCAGCAAAGCTGACCTTCTTCAGTCGGAGCCCGCAATCCAGCAGGCCACCTTCCTCGCCCTCTTCCTCCTCCTCCTCTTCTTCTTCTTCCTCCTCCTCCTCATCTTCCTCTTTGCCTCCCTGCAGCCCATCCCCCATCTCCCCACCCTCCCCTGTGGGCCGCCGTGCCACAGTCGTCGCTGCCTCTTCTTCCTCCTCGGGCGCCCCACAGCCCCCACGGAGGCATCGGTGACTCCCATTGCCCTCCTCGGCCTGGGGTTCCAGGCGGCGGGGCACAGGGCGTCGGAGGCTCAGCAGGCCCAGCAGGGCGCGGGCCAGCTCCCAGATGGCACGAAGGCCCAGCTCGCCGCGGCCCAGCCGTCGGTACAGGTGCGGCTGCAAGACCTCGCGAACGTTCTGTAAGAACTGGCGAGTGATCAAGAGCGTGGCCAGCATCTGTGGGCAGGAAAAGTGGGCGAGAAAGGTCATGTGGGGGGCATGCAGTGGGCCTGGGGTGCCAGGTTGGGTGGGTGGGGGTGCACCCACTCTCCCCAGCCTGCGGTGCCCAGAGCACTCACATACACCCCCCGCTCAGCTCCCCAGCTGCCTAGCCACACCCCCAGTGGCTTGGCCACACCCCTTGCTGGTGGCTTGTCCACACCCTTCAGTGGGCCCACCATGCCCTTCAGTGGCTCAACCACGCCCTTTGGTGGCCAGGCCATATCCTTGGCCTCTGCAAACGGCAGAATGCCCATAGTGGGCAGGGCAGGGGCATCTCCACCGGTGGTGGACTTAGCTAAGCACCCAGGGCCTCCTGTGGTGGCCCCCCTCGGAACCTACCCCAGCTCCTCCCAGTATGCATGCATCTGCCTGAGGTGCCCCGGAATGCGGGCAGCCCCCCCAGCAACAACTCCACAGCCGCCCACCCGGCAGGCTGCTACCCCCTGCCCGTACTTTGGCCCGGACCGCGAACAGGAGGCCCCGGAGGGAGAGGAGTAGCAGGCGGTACCGCAGGGCCACGAGCGGGGCCAGCACCGCCCGCAGCTGCCGCTCGAGGCTCTGGGTCAGGGACAAGATGAGCAGGAGCTGTGGAGGGACCGACGGACAGGTGGACAAGCAGATGGGAAAGGAGGAGGTGACAGACAGAGAGGAGAGAAGGATGGAGGCGGGGGAAGGGGCTTCCGGCCGGCCGCCCCCCGACCGGGCGCCACCAGGGCAGGGGCGCCGGGGGGCAGCTCACCTCTTTGAGCCGCTCCATGTCCTTGAGGTAGAATCCGATGTAGAAAAGACTCAAGTAGGAGTTGACGAATTGGAACTAAACGGGGCAGGTGGGGTGGGGCGGTCACCTTGCTGGACGTGGCCAGCTGCATCCCTGCCCCGCCGCCCTGCAGGTGCACCTGCTGCTCACCAGGACCACTTTGATGATAAGATGCTTCTCGTAGGCGCTCTCCAGCCGGTAATTCTCTGGGGGGCCGAGGGGGGCGGGCCGAGTGAGGGCAGGCTTGGCCTTAGCACCCTACCTGCACCCACCCTGGCCTGTACCCACCCTACCCACACCCACCCTGGCCTGCACTCCCCCTGACCGGCAGGCCGTACCCATGTCGTTGAGCCATATGGCAAGCTTCTTGTAGCCCTCGGCACACAGGCTGACCAGCAGGGCCAGCACGACCTTGGGGAGGAAGCGTGCCAGGCGGGGCAGCCCCTTCACGCTCAGGACCAGCTCCTGTGTGTGGGGGGTCAGACAGGGGGCGAGAGGCTGGGTTTGCTTGTGGTTCAGCCCGTGGGCCAGGCAGGGCTGGGCCGGGCAGGGCTGGGGGGCTGGGGGGTCGCACCTGCAGCTGAAAGCAGGCAAGCATGAGTAGGAAGACGCAGGCCAGGCAGCCCAGGCACAGGGGCAGGCTGACCAGCAGCTGGAAGAGCAGCCGTTTCCAGGGAGGGTAGTAGAACTCCTCGGCACGGGTCACAGGGTTGATGCGCCGTACGCCCTGATGGGGACGGGACGGGGTGTGAGGCCAGCAGGGCCAGAGGGACAGGCTACGCCCTGAGGCCACAGGCCCTGCTCCCAGCTGACCGCCCCCAGGTCGCAGGTCCTGCCCCTCCTTCCCCAGGCAGCTGTCTTTGTGTATGTTGGCGGGGGACTCCACGTTCCACCCCATCCCGCACCCTGCTCTCTCGAGCCGAGGCCACTTCCCAGACCGACCCTGAACTGTGGCCGTGGTTCCTCAATGGCCTCTCCTGGGGAGTCCAGCGTCCCCCACTTGTAGGCCAGCTCCGCCCCCCGGCGCTTCCATTCCTCCAGGAAGAGCGTGGACCAGATGACGTTGAACAGCGCGAAGACCACGCAGGACACGTCACGGCTTGTCTGTGTGCATGTGGGGGACGGGGAGGTCACGGGTCCGTGAAGAAGGGGTGCCGTGGGGGTGCTGGCGGGTCCGTCCTGACCACCGCCCCAGTACCTGATCCGCCTCGGTGAACGTGTAGAGGACAGAGCCGAAGACGGCCGGGTAGACCATAGCTGACGTGTAGAAGCCCAGCCAGGCAAAGTACATGGCGATCTTCACCCCGAAGTACTCGCAGATGTCATCTGGGCCGGGACAGGGTCCCCGTCAGCCATGTGCTCTCCGGGGCCGCCCCATCCTCCCCACCCAGAACCCCAGCCCCTTCGGGGCCACACCTAGAGGCTGGTTCTCACACACAGCCTGTACCCACGACTTCATGAGGCGGTTCAGGATACGCTGTTCGTGCACCGGGAACACCTGCTGGATGACGCCACGGGCGGCCAGCTCCGGGACTGCGGTGGGGAGGGAGGTGTGTGTGCGGGCTGCAGGTGCACCCCACCCCTGCCTGCAGCACCCAGTTCCCTGGAGGCCTGGGAGCCACAGTGCACCTGGGGGGCCACAGCCCGCCTCAGGGACTACAACCTGCTTGGGGGACCACGGCCCGCCTCGGGGACTACAGCCCTCCTCGGGGACCACAGCCCGCCTGGGGGACCACGGCCCGCCTGGGGGACCATGGCCCGCCTCGGGAACCACGGCCTGCCTCGGGGACAGGAAGGGGGCGCCTGGCAGAGGCTCTCCAGAAAGCTCTGATCGGGTTTGTGGCCTCAGACAGGTGTGCAAGGACACAAGGCAGGTGTCTCCACATTCAGGACAATGGGTGCTGTCCGTGGTGCTGGCCACGTCCCCGCCCACTGATCAGGCTGACCCTGATTACGCTGGCCACACCCACAAAAAGACTGACACGCCCCATCAGGCTGGCCACACCCTCTACCCTGATTAGGCTGGCCACACCCATGATTAAACCACCACGCCCCATCAGGCTGGCCACACCCCTGCTTAGACTGACCACACCCCTGATTAGACTGACCACACCCCTGGTTAGACTGACCACGCCCCTGATTAGACTGACCACACCCCTGGTTAGACTGACCACGCCCCCATCGGGCTGGCCACACCCTTGCCCTGGTTAGACTGACCACGCCCCATCGGGCTGGCCACACCCCTGGTTAGACTGACCACGCCCCCACCAGGCTGGCCACGCCCTCACCCTGAACAGGCTGCACTTGCTCAGTCCCACCCAACCTGCCCGCCCACAAGGCGCCCATCGTCCTGCAAGCGCCCTCGCTCACTGATGGGCTGGTCTTCCAGGAAGCGCACGTTGTGCAGCGCCTCGCCCTGCTTGGCCCGCAGGTTCTGCAGCCAGAAGCGGATGATGCTCTGCCGCTCCTGTGGGCGAGGGTGCAGGACGTGAGCTTCCCCGGAAGTAGGGGGAAGCCGACAGGGAGATCATGGGGGGATGGACCCCAACCCAGCAGGGCACTACGAGGGCTGGTCCCCCACCCGGGCAGGGCACCCCAGGGCTGGTCCCCCTCCTGGGCAGGGAGCCCGAGAGCTGGTCCCCCTCCTGGGCAGGGACGTCCCCCACCCGGGCAGGACACCCCGAGGGCTGGACCCCCACCTGGGCAGGACACCCCAGGGCTGGGCCCCCACCTGGGAGGTGAAGAACTGCATCTCGCTCTCCACATTCTCGTAGATGAAATCCTCCTCACAAGAGAAGCCGCGGGTGCCGCCACCGAACTCGGCCTTCACGGCTTTGCGCAGCCCCAGCTCGTCCGCACCCCGGAGCAGGCTACGGGGCAGGAGGAGGGCAGGTGGGCTCAGAAGTGGCAAGGCTATGCACCTGGCAGCCCCTCTATGTGGCTGGTGCAGGGCAGGGCAGGGTCAGCAGAGGCTGGGGCGTGGCGTGGCTGGTGCAGGGCAGGGTCAGCAGAGGCTGGGGCATGGCGTGGCTGGTGCAGGGCAGGGTCAGCAGAGGCTGGGGCATGGCGTGGCTGGTGCAGGGCAGGGTCAGCAGAGGCTGGGGCATGGCGTGGCTGGTGCAGGGCAGGGCAGGGTCAGCAGGCCGGGGCCTTGGGGCTGGCGACTCGCCTCTCATAGGTGGCTGTGACGAAGAAGGCGTAGGCACGCGTGTGGCGGTGGTGGCGCACTTGCACTATGAGCTCGGGGATGCCCACCCGGACGCGGTTCAGCAACCAGAGCAGCGTGTGGTCATCGGTGGTGTCTGCCGAGGGGCACAGGGACCGTGGACTTGGCCCCACCTGGGGCGAGCAGGTGGGCATGCGCACGCAGCAGGAGCGGGGAGGCAGAGCACACGGGGCGGGGGGTACCTGGGAACGTCATGAGCACGTCACAGTTCTCCGTGGGCACCGTCTTCATCCACGCCTTGTGGGACACCAGGTAGCGCCCGGCTTGCAGAAGCCGCTTGCCGAACAGCTTGTCTGGGGAGCGGAGTGGGACGCCGAGCCAGGCAGGACCCGGTCAGGCCTGCACCTCCTGGCACCTGCCGAGCCCATCCCCTCTAGATCCTCCGTGTCCATCTTACTCATCACCCCCCAGGCCCAGCTCCACCTCTCGGATCCACAATGGGACGCAGCAGCCTTAGCAAAGCGTCGTCCTTCCGGTAAGCCCCCCTCTATGGGTGCGGCGCTGGCCCCCACCCCCATTCCACAGGTAAGCAAAACTGAGACCAGAATGCACATAATCCATTTTTAAAAGTGCCCAAGGTCACGCAGCCCAACTGGGACTCAAACCCACCCAGGGCCATGTGATCAAAGGCGTTATCCCTCTCTGGGTCGCGGCACTCTGGCGCAGCCTCCCCAGCCTCCACCCCTAGATTGGGGGGGGTCCCCTCGGAGGGGTGTGTCCTGGAGACACCCCTTCACCCCTCCTGCCCCAGGCCCACTGCCTGCACCATGCCAGCCCCACCCGGCCCGGTCACCGCCACAGCGCCGGGGCCGCCAAGGCCTGGCTCGTCCCCGGCACCGTGTCCCCGCGTCGGCCCTCGGGCAGCGCGCGCCCCATGCACCTGCTCCCCGGCCAGGGGCGCATACCCAGCACTCCGGCCGCGGGGGCTGCAGGCTCGCCCTCGGGCGGCGGCCTCTTGCCCCGCTCGCCCTCCGGGGCCGTGCCCCCTGCAGCAGCGGCGGCGGCGGCGTCGGCCATGGCGAGCACGGCTGCAGGCCCGGGGCTCCCTGCGGGTCCCCCCCTCGCCTCCACGAGCGAGCGCGCAGCCGGAGGAGGAGACAAAGGCCGCGCCCGCCCGCGTCGGCCCGAGCGCCGCTTCTCGTCCCCGCCCGCGCCGAACCTCCAGCCGGCCGCCGCGCGTGCGCCTGCGCGTGGCCCGGCCCCGCCCGCGCGGGGTTCCAGGCTTCCCTTCGCGCCCGCCCACTCGCGTCTTGGGTGCTCGTCGCCGCCCGCATCGACGGCGCAGGCAGCCTCTCCCCACTCCCCGCCCGCGCTGGCCGAGAACCAGAGAATCAGCTGCTCCTGCGTCCGGGCCCGTCGCCGCCCTAGGACTCCTACATTCGGTCCAACGTTGCCCAGAGGGACACCCTTTTGGCTTGCACACCTCCTCCCTGCCGTCCAACCTGCCCCCTCAAGTCACCCAATGACATCCAAGGTCTGCCGCCGGGGGGGCGGGAGTTTCTCCCAAGCGCCCAATGGACGTCCAGCATCGTTGAACATATGACCAATCACGGCGGGGAGGAGGCGGGACCTCCTGCCCGAAGTTGAAGCCGCGCAGGAAGGTCGGGCAGGACGGTGGCGGATTTGAAATCCATGTGGCGGTGGCTGTGGACCCGGGTGGTCCGGGCGGCCGCGGGGCCTCGCAGGTGGGAGAGCCGGGGACGGAGGGGCTGTGGGTGCAGGGCGCCGCTGCTGGGGCCCCTGGCTCGCTGCAGACCAGGCCTGGGACCATGCCCGGGCTCAGCCGCCCTGTCCCTCCGCAGCGCCTGCAGCCGCCGGGGTTGCAGCAACAGCAGCAGCACCAGCAGCTCGGCCCCCGCCGCCGGCGCCACCATCTTCGCGCTGAGCTCGGGCCAGGGCCGCTGCGGGGTCGCCGTGATCCGGGCCAGCGGCCCTGCCAGCGGCCACGCGCTGCGGAGCCTCACGGCGGCCCGGGACCTGCCCCCCGCCCGGCGCGCCAGCCTGCGTCTGCTCAGCGACCCGAGCTCCGGGGAGCCGCTGGACCGCGCGCTGGTGCTGTGGTTCCCAGGTGAGGGGTGGGGGGTGGGGGGTGAGAGGTGAGGGGGAGGGTCCCGGACAGGCACTGCACCTGTCAGCCCCGTGGCACACTGCTCCACCCCTCCTGACCAGGCCCATGGCACAGTGCGCCACCCCTCCTGGCCATCCCCATGGCACAGTGCGCCACCCCTCCTGGCCACCCTGTTCCCCTCCTGACTGCTCTGCTTCACTACGCGAGGTCCCCATAGCTTCACGGGTGAGGACTGTGTGGAGTTCCACGTGCACGGAGGCCCAGCCGTGGTGAGCGGCGTCCTGCAGGCACTGGGTGAGCCACTGGCTGTCGCCCGTTGGTATCTGGGGGGTGCTGGTGGTGATGGTGGGTGGCTGGGACACTCAGGACCCTCCCTGCCCCGGTCATGGGGAGTCTCCCCACAGGCAGTGTGCCAGGGCTGCGGCCTGCCGAGGCGGGCGAGTTCACTCGCAGGGCCTTCGCCCACGGGAAGCTCGACCTGACCGAGGTGGAGGGACTGGCAGATCTGATCCACGCGGAGACAGAAGCGCAGCGGCGCCAGGCACTGCGACAGCTGGATGGCGAGCTGGGCCAGCTGTGCCACGGCTGGGCGGAGACACTCACCAAGGCAGGTCCCCCGCTGCCCACTCCCGGCGTCCGACGCCTGGTCGGCCATGGCCTGCCTGGCCCCCCCCATCCGGCCAGCGCCCAGTCCCACATGCCGCTTCCGGCTGCATCTGGGTGGCCTCTGAGCACCCTGAGCGCCCACCCGTCCTTCCTGCCCCCAGGCGCTGGCGCATGTGGAGGCCTACATCGACTTTGGCGAGGATGACAACCTGGAGGAGGATGTCCTCAGTGAAGGTGCCCCGGGGGACAGGGAGCAGGGCAGGGTGAAGCTACCTCTGCTTAACTCCCCCTCCAAGGCCCCTCTCTCGCTCCTCTCGGCTCTGCCACCCTCAGCCCACAAGGACGTGCGGGCACTGGAGGCCGCCTTGGACGCGCATCTGCGAGACGCGAGGCGGGGCCAGAGGCTCCGCTCCGGGGCGCACGTGGTGGTCGCCGGGCCCCCCAACGCAGGCAAAAGCAGCTTGGTCAACCTGCTGAGTACGTAGGCACAGGGACGGAGGGGCCGTGTGCCCTGGCCCCAGGCTGGAAGGCCACGTCCATCGTGTCCCCCAGTGCCCTGGCCTGAGCCCCGCTCTCCCCCCACAGCTGGAAGGCCACGTCCATCGTGTCCCCCAGTGCCCTGGCCTGAGCCCCACTCCCTCTCCCCGCCCCCAGGCCAGAAGCCCGTGTCCATCGTGTCCCCTGAGCCAGGGACCACCCGTGATGTGCTGGAGACCCCGGTGGACCTGGCTGGCTTCCCAGCATTGCTGAGTGACACAGCGGGGCTAAGGGATGGCGTGGGGCCAGTGGAGCAGGAGGGGGTGCGGCGTGCCCAGGAGAGGTGAGCAGGCAGGGCTGGGCACTGAGGGCGCTGGCGTACTGGGACTGGGTATTGGGGGCACTGGGGCACTGGGACCAGTCCTGGGGACACTGGGACCGGACCTGGGGGTGCTGGGCCTGGGCACTGAGGGCGCTGGGGATGCTGGGGGTGCTGGGACTGGGTATTGGGGGCACTGGGACACTGGGACCGCACCTGGGGGTGCTGGAACCAGGAACTGGGGTTGCTGGGGGGGCTGGGACCTGACCAGGACCCTCGCCCTTCCTTCAGCTTTTGTCCCTGGCATCTGCCACAAACCCCGCCCCTTCACTCAAGTCCTGCCCCCGTGCAGTACCACGCCCCTTTGGCCAGCCACGCCCTCCCACTTGGCTCCACCTCCTCAGCTTCTACCCGTGCGCGATGCCCCGCCCCCTGGTCTTGGCCCCGCCCCCGGGCTCAACGCCTCCGCGTCTCCTCCCTCCCTCCTCCGCCCTGCAGGTTGCAGCAGGCTGACCTGGTCCTGGCGGTGCTGGACGTGTCGGACCTGGGCTCCTCCGCCAGTCGCCACTTCCTCGCCTCGGTCGTGGGTCCGCGGTGCAGCCTGAGCCCCGGTGAGCGCCAGCAGCGCCTGCTCCTGGTGCTCAACAAGGCAGACCTGCTGCCCGGCGCAGGCCAGGACCTGGACCCCTACCTGTCTGCGGGCCTGCTGCGCAGTGCAGGCCAGGACTCGGAGCCCCGGCTGTGCAGTGCAGGCCAGGACCCGGAGCCCCGGCTGCCTCCGCACCTGCTGCCCGGTGCAGGCCAGGACCCGGAGCCCCGGCTGCCTCCGCACCTGCTGCCCAGTGCAGGCCAGGACCCGGAGCCCCGGCTGCCCCCGCACCTGCTGCCCGGTGCAGGCCAGGACCCGGAGCCCCGGCTGCCCCCGCACCTGCTGCTGTCCTGTCTGACGGGCGCAGGCTTGGATGACCTGCTGGAGGCGCTGCGGACGGAGCTGGCTGCGCTGTGAGCTCCCTCACCCCGCACCCCTGCAGCCCCAGAGCCCCCCCACCTCGGCGTGCGCCCCCTCTGAGGCCGGCTGCCCGGTTTGTGTCTCCTCCGGCAGGTGCGGGGACCCGGCGGCCGGCCCTCCGCTGCTGACGCGCGCCCGGCACCTGCACCACCTGCGCGCCTGCCGGGATGCCCTGGCACACTTCAGGCCGGCGCGGGACCTGGCGCTGGCGGCCGAGGCGCTGCGTGTGGCCCGCGGGCACCTGACGCGCCTCACAGGCGGCGGCGGCACCGACGAGCTGCTGGAGCTCATCTTCCGGGACTTCTGTGTGGGCAAGTGAGCACAAGCGAGCACAAGCGAGGATGCTCCAGTGGCCTGAGGCGTCTCTTTCTGGAACTTTCTGCACGCCTGTGGATGCCACCTTCCAATCTGTGTATGGTTTTGTTTCCCGTGAAAGGAAACTTTCTGTTTATTGAAAAGAAGGCAGAGTAGTGACACAGGGAGACAGAAAGATCTTCCATCCACTGCTTCACTCCCCAAGTGGCCGCGATAGCCGGAACTGAGCTGACCAGGAGCCAGGAGCCTCTTCCGGGTCTCCCACGCGGGCGCAGGTCCCAAGGCTTTGGGCCGTCCTCCACTGCTTTCCCAGGCCACAGGCAGGGAGCTGGATGGGAAGTGGGGCAGCCAGGATTAGAACCGACGGCCATATGGGATGTCAGCGCTTGCAGGTGGAGGATTAGCTAGTTGAGCCATGGCGCCAGGGGATAAACGTCCTAACCGCTCATCTCTGCTCATCTCCAATTTTACAGATGTTGGTCACTCTGCAAATGATTGTTCCTTTGTATTTCCTGCACTTACCGGAACCCAGGGGTCCCGCCGCCCCTGCAGGCCGCAGTCTGCCCTCCTTGGCTCCCTCAGGGCTGTGTTATCCTCGGCAGTGGCTCCACGTGGCCTCCCGTGGACCATGTGCTGCGTGGCTTGTTCTGGTGGTACAGGACACACCCAGGGGAAGCTGGCTGGCTGCCCCCAGCTTGGCTTCCAGCTCAGCGGAGATGCTCAGGACACACACCCATGCGCTAGGGGAGGACGTGGGTGCGAGTGTCTGGGCTCTCGGGGTGCCGGTCCAGCGTCCTGCCCGGGCACACCCTGGGGGCTTCAGGGTGCCGGTCCAGTGCCATGTCCAGGCACACCTTGGGGGCTCTCGGGGTGCCGGTCCAGCATCCTGCCTGGGCACACCCTGGGGGCTCTCGGGGTGCCGATCCAGCGCCCTGCCCAGCACACCCTGGAGGCTCTTGGGGTGCCAGTCCAGCGCCCTGCCCAGCACACCTTGGGAGGCGGCCAGGATACTGGCTTGCAGTGCTATAGAGTGGCAGGCAGAGGGCGTCTTGTGTCCACCAAGGTGGTCCCGGGGGCCACTCAGTCCCCAGTGGGGGCGGAGGTGTGATTTGGCCATAGGCACAGGAGTTAAACCTGCAGCAGCCTCAGCCGCACCCCGTTCCCAGAGCACCAGACCCAAGGTGAGGGTCCTGCTGCAATGACAACCAGGGTAGATTCTGAATGTGGACATTTCTGGGGGAAAAAGCATGTCCGCAGTCACTGTGACACCCATTTTTCAGACCGACAAACAGGCCCAGTAGTAGCAGAACCTAGGGTTCCACTGGGGTGATGGGTAGTGGTGGTGGGAAGGCAGCTCCAAGGGAGTATACCCAGAGGGCTTCCTGAAGGAGGCAGCAAGCGGGGGGCCTGTGGCCAGGGGAAGGGTCCTTCCTGGCCCCACCTCCCCATACCCAGGTCCCTGGTGCACTGCTGGACAGAAGGCCTTGGCTAGTGTCCATTTTTTTCCAAGCACGGTGAGGTGGTGTGTGGGAAGCAGTCGCCTTGGGGGGAGGTGTTATTTTTAGAGGCCTTCAGGAAATCCCTGGAGGGGCAGTGCCTCACCCTCAGGGCTGGCTGGACTGGCCTGGCACCATGGAATGAGGCAGTGGGGGGCTTGGATGCTGACAGCCGAACCCCATCCTGAGCCCCAGGAACCCCCAGCCTGGGAGACTCAAACTTCAGGGTGGAGAGGAGAGGACGGACCAGGCTTTGGGGATCCAGGGAGCGCTGCCTGGAGCAGGGATTCTCTGGAGACAAGCCAGCCAGGTCAGGAAAAGCGGGTTATCCCATGCCTCGGGCAGTGTGAACTGGTGTGTGAGCCTGCAGGTCCTACACTGCTCCAAGGGTGCTGGGCAGCCATGGAGGGGGTGTGAGTGCACGAAAGGGGCTTCCTCTGGGAAGACGCAGAGGTCTACCGGATGGGGTGGGGGGAGCTGAGCTATTCTAGAATGTTCTTCAATGGCAGACCCCACCCTAGGGTCTAGAGCAAGGATTACTGCACCCACTTCTCGCGTGGGGAAATGCAGGCTGAGATGGACTTGGTCAAGGTGCGCGTAGCTACTCTTGCAGTCTTGACCTGCTGGGGCGCCCGCCTGGGGTTGCCTGGTACCCACCCCCAGTCCCCGGGAGCAGGGGACATCTCCAGGGCTCCAAGGGTCCGGGACAGGGACGTTCCCATTTCCTTGGGCGGGGGGTGTCTTCAGCTCCCCCTGGCAGGGCTGGCTCTCCCCTCCTCCTCCTCCCCTTCCCAGGCCTTCCCCCCCAGCTCCCCCAAGCCTGGCAGGGAGCCACAGCCAAGGGTTTCCGCAGCGACCGTCTCTTGCCCTGGGGTTTCCTGATCCCGGAAATATCGCTCCTTTGTCCTCGCAATGGCGCTGCCAGCCCTTGGCTTGGCTCCTGACTCACCCGGCCCGGCCCAGGCTCTGCAGCAGTGGGGGCTGCAGAGGACCTCCCACCCAGAGGACCATTTTTAAGTAACTTTTTTTTTCCTTGAAGGTCTTTTGGTTTCTTGAGTATTGCGTTGCTAAAGGGATCTGCTCCAAGCAGTGGACACACAGAGCAACCCGGCTGAAGACACAGCCTCCAAGCACATTGATTTAAAAGGCGGAGTTGGACAATCTTCCAGAAACTGGCTCACTCTGCAAATATTGCAATGGCCAGGGCTGGGTCAGGCAGGAGCCAGAAGCTTCTTCCAGGTCTCCCATGTGGGTGCAGGGTCCCAAGGCTGTGGGCCGTCCTCCACTGCTTTCCCAGGCCACAGGCAGGGAGCTGGATGGGAAGTGCAGTAGCCGGGATTCGAACTGGTGTCCAGCACAGCACACACCAGCTAAGCCTGCAACACCACGGCACCAGCTCCTGCAGCTCTGATTCTATCACACAGAGCTCAGCTTATTTCTGGAAGGATCTTGTTAAGAATTACATCTCGGGCCCGGCGTGGTAGCCCAGTGGCTAAAGTCCCTGCTGGGATCCCATATGGATGCTGGTTCATGTCTCGGAGACCCCGTTTCCCATCCAGCTCCTTGCTTGTGGCCTGGGAAAGCAGTAAACCAGCAGATGGAAGATCTATCTCTCCTCTCTGTAAATTTGCCTTTCCAATAAATAATCTTAGGAAAATGATCCCTGCCAGGTCCTATGGGGTTAAAAAACTTTGTGCCGTCTCCCCATCTTCCCCGGCAGGTGTCCCTGCTGCCTTGGGGTGCGTCTTCCCTCCCTCCGGGGGGCTGTGTCTGCAGACAGCGCTGCCCATGGTGCCCTGCTTAGAGCGGTAGGGCCAGTGTCGGACTCCAAGCACTCGGGGAGTGTTTGGGAAGCTGTTATTACACTCCCACGGACAGCAGCCATCCTGTCACTCCCCCATGCCACTTGACACCTCAGGCACGGGGCAGCTGGCGCTTCAGAGAAAGCAAAGCTGGTGTTTGAAACAACAGGGTCTGGGGGAGGGCATGGGCGGGGTTGTGGCGAAGCGGGTTAGGCATTAGTTTGCATCCCACGCGGGTGCAGGGTCCCAAGGCTTTAGGCCGTCCTCCACTGCTTTCCCAGGCCACAGGCAGGGAGCTGGATGGAAAGTGGAGCTGCCGGGACTTGAACTGGTGCCCCCGTGGGAGGCTGGTGAGACACATGGCAGGTAAGACTTGGTGCAACACAACATCAGCTTCCTAACCAGGGAGCCAAAAGCCAGCCCGAGGGCAAGGAGGACTCAGGGAATCCGCTAGCATTTATTCAACGCTGGTGGTGTACATACACGGGGTGGTAAGTGTGCGAGGAAGAAGGCAGCCCGGGCCAGCAGCCTGCATGGGGGGCCTTGTCACTGCTGGGCCAGACACGGGAGGCCTGGAAACTCTCAGGGCGCTGGACACTTCCCGTTCTCACCTCCCAGGCCCAGCAGGGCAGGGGCCACCGAGATAAGCCAGCCGGACACAGGGCCAGCGCTGGTGGGGTGACAAGATGATGGGGTGCAAGCGGGCGTGTGCGTGACGGGCGCTAGAACAGGATGCCACGCCGTGCTGCGGGACATCGGGGGACTGCGTGGTGTCATCACGCGGCCGGGGCTGTGATGGGGTGTGTGTGTATGTTTTGGGGGGGAAGAGAAGCGATGGCCTGACTGCCACCCTGGGCCTTGGGGGGGGTGCCGTGCTGTGCCCCCAGCATCCGTCCGCAGGTGGCAAGTCCGGGGTGCCACGGGCAACCTTCTCAGCCACTAGAGGGGGAAGCGAAGAGAGGAGAACAGCCAGTTAGATGCACGCAGCGGTGAGGCTGGCTGTTTCTCCAGCTCCACCTCTCAAGGTCTGGCTGGGGACACCGCTCCTGCACCCCAAGCCTGTCTCCCCTACCAGACCCCTCGAGAGGCTCCCCTCCATCTCCTCTCGTGCACACAGAGCTGACGGGGCACCCACTGTCCACGGATTCCCCCGGGACAGGCGCTTCATGAACAGCCTGTGCCACTCTCCCTCCTTTGCCCTCTGTAGCTCTCCCGTGCCATCCGGACAGCAGAGATCCAGCAATGCCGAGCACCTGCAGGTCTGCTCCCTCCACGAGCCCGGGAGGGCCCCCTCCTCCTTTCTCAGCCTCACCAGGCAGTGCTCCCCCGGGGGTCAGGGGTTAGCATGGGACTGTTTCCTGATGGAGATGGGGGGGAGGGCAGGGGCTGCAGCCAAGTCCCACTTCCTCCAGCCCCCTCCTCCCTTCCTTCCCAGCTCTTCCCAGGGGCCCGTGCAGGCCTTAACTTCTTCCTCTCCTCCTCCTGGTCTGCTGGCGCTGGGCCCCCTTCTCTGGCTCCAAGCCCTACAAGGGTTCTTCACTCAGCAGGGGAGGCAGGCCCAGACCTACCACTGCCCACCCTGGACCTTGCTGGCCATCGGAGCCAGTCCCCAGGACCTCATGGCAGCCACTGGCACCTCCCTGCCCACCCCCCAAAGGCTGGCACTCAGCAGACCAGGGCCTTGCCGTGGCCAGACACGCCACCTGTGCCCCACTCCACAAATGCTTCCCCAGGCCTCGTGGAATCACTCAGGCTCTCACATTGCTTTTCTCTCTGGCCCTCGCTCCCCAACAAGTCTGTATTCATCTGCCGTATGGGGCGCTGAGCCACACGGGGTCGGGGTCTCTGCGCAGTGTCCCAGGCCCCCAGCTACCAGCAGCTGTTCAAACTTCGGAGTTTGTAATACTGTGAATTAACCCACCGGCTGTACTGTCAGCATCCCACAGGGGCGCCGGTTCAAGTCCCGGCAGCCCCACTTCCCATCCAGCTCCCTGTCTGTGGCCTGGGAAAGCAGTGGAGGACGGCCCAAAGCCTTGGGACCCTGCACCGCGTGGGAGACCCGGGACAGGCTCCTGGCTCCTGATCAGCTCAGCTCTGGCCGTTGTGGGTGCAGGGACCCGAGCCCTTGGGCCGTCCTCCGCTGCTTTCCCAGGCCACAGGCAGGGAGCTGGATGGGAAGTGGAGCAGCCAGGATTCGAACCTGCACTCAGAGGGGTGCCAGCGATGATTTAACCTGCGGTGCCACAACTTGGGGCCCCTGTCGCTCTGCCTTCCACATAAATAAAAGAACTTGAAGGGGGAAAAAGAAAGATTAAGCAGGCATCACTTTACAGGATCCCCCCAACCATCGCTGTTGATTCAAGACCAGGCAGAAGTTCAGAATCAGAGTCCAGAGTGCTCACCATTGCACGATGGAACCAGAAGCACAAAATGAAGGAGTGAACCGAGGCAGAGCTGCCGGCACTCCCCCACCCGGCCCTGGCTCGGCCCCCTTGTCCACCCAGCCAAGGTCAGTCAAGGTCAGGGACCCAAGAGGCTCAAGTGGGCATTGTTTGTGTGAGAGCTGAGGACGTCATCAGCAGTATATACACTGTCAAGAGCTTTCCCGGTTCTCAGCGGAGGCCCCGAGAGCCCCTGGCTCCCCGCTAGGTGACCCTGTGACTGGACCCTTGCCCTGGGGCCTCAGTGTCCTGCTCCGTGAAGTGGGGACAGGAATAGCAGCATCTTCCTTACTCTCAGGGCTGCGGGCCAAACTGCGCACAGAGAGCAAGATTGATGGTCCCCGTGGGGGAGGTCCCATCACGTCTGCAGGCTTCCCCTCGCCTGCCCAACTCCGGGGCCTGCACTGGCGGGGGCGGTGGGAAGCTGAGGGCTCCCCGTGAGTCACCAGAGCCCAGGTTGAGGGGTGCAGGTGAGGCTGGGCCCATCCCACAAAGTCAGCCTGTGTTGAATGTCTGCTAGTGAGAGCCTGCTGGCTGGGTGGCTGGGTGGGTGGTCACGGGACTTGAGACGCCCCCCTCTGCAGCCCACAGTTGCCAGGACGGCTGGGGGCCCCGCCTGGAAGTGGGACAGGCTGTTCTCGGGGTAGCAGCCTGAGTCACCTTCCGTGTGACGCATGCCACAGGGCGCCGAGGGCCAGCGGATGGCTGGGGCCTCGGGCCGGGCGGAGGGGCCCCAGGCACGGAGCCACCATACTAGAGCTTGTGCCAGACCCCATTGAGGCCCCTGCCCCGCCCCGCCCTGCCTGCCAGCACAGGGGCCTTGCTACCCACTCCTCCTCCTCCAGGCAGGCAACAGCAGGTGCTTCTGCCTGGCTCTCCCTACCTACCCCCTCCGGGGATCAGCTCCTCCGCTTGCCTGTGTATGGGGGCGAAGGGCTCTATCACCAGGGTCCTGTGTCACAGTCGGCCCCTGTCCCATCTGCCCAAAGCCTTAAGAACCATGTGGAGCTCATTGCAAGCCCCGTTGGGGACACGGCCTCCAGCCAAACTCTGCTCCTCTCGCTCTGCCTGCCAGACCCCTGAGGTGGAACGGCCTTGGTCCAGGGTCTGCCTGAGCCCCCTCAGCATACCTTACCTGGCAGGGGCAGGAGGAGGAGGAGGAGGGGCGGCCACACTGCTGGATGAAAGACCCTGTGACTCCAGAATCCGCTTCTTAAATTCCTCCAGGCCTGCGGGGTCTGTGGAGAGGGGACAGGTTCAATCAAGGTAGCAGAGACGCCCCCACAGCCTTCCCCTGGCCTCACCCCCCGACTCCCTGCCACCTTAGCCCCTGCACACCTGCCCGTAGCCCCACCCACCGCCCCATCACTCACCGAAGGGTTGCGGGTTGGGGGCACCACCCATTGGTTTCTGTGCCAACACTGGCTGCGACTGTGGAAAGAAGGATGGAAGCAGCAGGTTGGCAGCAGCCCAAGCCCCTGACCTTGAGTTCTCGGACAAGACCTGCCCCACGCTGGGTCCTTGGGGACCTGGGGCTACAGCCAGGGTATGGTACTATCACCCCGTCCACATGGAGTTGGGTGTACCTCCCGCCTCGGTCCACCCAAGGAGGTCATAGTCTGGGAGTGACCTTAACTGAGTCCACCCCAGACCACCTGCCCCAGGCCCCAGCGATGACCGCTAACAGACTGTGTGAGCAGAGGGCGTCTCCCTTGGTCCTGGACACGACCCCTGGAGGTGCTAAATCCAGTCTCAGCATGGAGCACTCCTTGGACTCAAGCTGGTAGCTCCATCCAGGCCTCCCCATGTCAGGGGGCAGGGACCCAAGTAGCTGAGCCTCCATCTGGTGCCTCCCCGGAGTGCTGGGAAGCGGAAGTGGAACTGAGATGTGCAGCCAGGCCACTCCAGTCTGAAACGGGGTACCCCGGGCTCCTAACGCCTGGCCCCTGGCCACGGCCTGGGAGTCCCATCACGACAGTCAAACCACCCTCCATCCTGGGCCGTACATCAGCTCACCCCACACTTACCAACCCCACGTGCCTTCCAACACAAACACATCCCAACCCAGAACTTGCCCCAAACCCACGGAAACTCTAACACCAAAACTCACTCCAAAACACTGTCCCAAGTCCACCCTACGCTCCGATCCTGCCTTGCCCCCCAGAACCACGCTCCTGGGGGCCAGAGGCCCAGCCAGTGGCCAATCCCACGCTAAGTGCCCCTATCACCGCCTCCATGAGACCTCAACCCCGGCCAGGTTTTGTCTCTCCCCGCTGTGCCCCTGCACCTTGCAGGTACCATGGCAACACCAGTGCCACTCCAAATCTTAACAGTGCCCTCTGCCTCCAGGCCTTCCGCCTACTTCAAACTTCCCGGATCCTGGCACCAGCCCAAGCTTCAAGTTCAAGTGGACACTTGGCCCAGCAGCGAAGGCAGCCTGCGGCAGCCCAAAACTCACATCAAGGGGCCTTGCCACACCAGCTCCCCATGCAGGCCCACTCCTGGCAGGCAGCAGCAGGTGTGACCATGGGCTTAAGGACACAGCCTCCTGCCCACCCCCTGCCACCAAGGCGGGAGACCCAGCTGCAGCCCCCCGGCTCCCGCCTGCAGCCCACCTTGGCTCGGATACATGTGTCCAGGGAGTTCTTGGTCACGTCCCACTGCAACCTGAGCTGCTCCACTTCACGCTTCCTCTGCTCCAGTTCCTTGAGCAGCTCGTCGCGCCCCTTACGCAGCGCTGCCTTCTCCTCGAGCGCCAGCTGCATCTGCCGCTGCGTCTCGCTCTGGAGCTTGGCCTCCCGGGCCTGCGCCTCCTTCTCGGCCTTCTCCTGGGCCTCCTGGCTGGTCTTCAGGGTGTGCTCCAAGGCCGCCTTCTGGCGCTGCAGCTCGGCATTCTCGTGGGCCACGCGTTCGATGCCCAGGCGCACGCCGCGGATCACCTCCTCCACTTTCTTGATCATGAAATCGGGCAGCTGTTCACACATTCTGCGGAGGTTTAGGAAATAGTCGGGGGTCAGCGAGTAGAGGCTGATGCTCAGGCCGTTCAGACGCTGGAGCTCGTGGGAGAGCAGCGAACTCTCGAACGCCTTCAGCAGGCCTTCGTGTAGCTTGTCCTTGTCCAGCATCAGGCACAGGCCTTGCACCTTCTGCAGCTGTTGCTCTGCCAGCTGGCGTGCCAGCTGATGCTGCCCCAGGTTCTTGCCGTGCTCGGCCAGCTGTTCCTCCATCACTCGCTTCGCCAGCACCAGCCCCTCCTTGTCCTTGGTGCATATCACTCTCTCCTTGGTCAGCTCCAGCTCTAACATCTTGCCCTTCTGGTCCAGCGTGGACATCAAAGCTGCGAAGACAACGGGCCGGGGTTGGGAGCTGCTGTCAGGGGAGTCCCCCACCGCGCCACCCACCGTGTCCCCCGCCATGCCACTCACCATTACAGCTCTCGTTGTCTTTCTTCAATTGTTCCTGGCATTTCTGCTCGCTGACGATGATGGCAGCCATGTACTTCATATGTAATGCATCGGTGACCTGCTCGCCAGACAAGGGTGGGGGCACGGGAGAGAGGTGAGCAACCATTCGGGGCGCCCCTGGGACACCCAGATGGCATTGCTCTTCCAAGAGAACCCCTGAACTGGCACAGTGGTTCAACTGGCTAATCCTTCACCTACAAGCACCTACTGCCCTTGTGGGCTGAGCCGATCTAAAGCCAGGAGCCAGGAGCCTCTGCCGGGTCTCCCACACAGGTGCAGGGTCCCAAGGCTTTGGGCCGTCCTCCACTGCTTTCCCAGGCCACAGGCAGGGAGCTGGATGGAAAGTGGAGCTGCTGGGACATGAATCAGGGCTGCTAGGGGATGCGGACACATGCAAGGCAACGATTTAGCCACTGAACCATTGCCCTGGGCCCACTTACAGGGTCAGGGACCTCCTTCTGAGGTCTGAGGCCAGCGAGCCGTCTTGCTTTGGGGTTCCAGTAGAGGGAGGACGCTGGGACTTAGCCTTAGGGTCCCAAGGGGGGGCGGCCCAGGCCATGATCGGGGGCTGGGTGCCTGGAGGCAGGGACAGTGTCCCATGCTAGGGGTTTGTGGGGTGGATACAGCAGCTGTCAAGGGCAGCAGCTGCAATGTGGGCTAGAGGCAGAGTCCCTCTCTCACTGAGCGAGGTGCATCCCTTTCCTGGGGACCTGGGAGGTGGGAGACAAGGTCCTGCCTGGGACAGGGTCGAGGGGGCATGAGGGAATTTGGGTGTGTGTGACTCAGCCTGGAGGTCCAGGAGCTTCCTGGATCTGCCCATTTGGGTAGGCTGTACCTCTGGGTTTTAGGTTGGGGGTCCAGGGGCTCCCCGTGACTGTGCTTGGGGGAGTCTTACCTCCTGGGCTTCAGGCTTGATTTCTCATCAGAGCCACGAGTAACAAAAAGCAGACGGAAGCCTTGGTGGCTGCCATGCTGCAGTGGCTCCCGGGTCACACTCAACAGGAATTCAACCCAAGGGCCAGCCATGGGTCGGGCATGCATTCCTTGTCCTCCAGCAAGGGTACCCAAGGTGGCGGGGTTATGAGGTGTGAGCTCGGGCAGGCGGACAAGTGTCCCCGGGAAGGGCAACACCAAGGATCTACCAGTCACAGCACCACCAGTCGCCCTGGCCGGCAGGCAGCACAGAGGGGACGGATGGACGCTGGTGGGCACCGGAGGCCCCCCTGGATGTCCCAGCAATGTGTTCGGTGTTCTCTGGGGACTTTGTCGTCACAGAAACCACAGTAGGAGACATGGCTAACAGGAGTGACCGCATGCCAAACACGGCCTGGGCACTGCAGACATCTGACATTCCAAACAGGACCCACCAGCCAGGTTAGAATTAGTCCTGGCTTCGCTCCTAAGACTCACACTCTAGGGAGTCAGGCGGGAGGGGAGGCACCTCAAGGACTTGGGGGTCTCTGCACCCACGTGGAAGACCCAGAAGAAGCTCCTGGCTTCAACCTGGCCCGGCTCCGGTTTTTGCAGCCATTTGGGACAATGAACCAGCGGATGGAAGATTCATTCTCTCTCTCTCTCAGGCTCCTCCAGGGGCGGGAACTGAGGCTCTGAGGCACAGAGAGAGGACGCAGGGTGTGCCCCCGTGGGGGGCTGCCCCGGCAGGGTCTTACCCGATCAGTCTGGCACTGGCGGAAGCTGGCATTGATGCGGTCCAGGTCGCGGCGGGCGCCCAGCAGCATGTGCATGATGGCCTCCTTGGCGCGCGCCGTAACGTTGAGCTCCTTGGTGAGGTTGGTGCGCGTGGCCGTGAGGCCCAGCACCTGGCCATAGAGGCCGTCGGCGCGGCGCTCGGTGGCCTGCAGGTTGGACTCGGTGGCCACGTGGACGTTGCCGTAGATCATGAACAACACGAGCCCCAAGATGATAAGGAACTGGATGAGCGACACGAAGAGGAAGAAGTAGCGCAGGTAATACCAGCAGCCGTGCGAGGCGCCGCCGGCGCGCGCGTACGGCCGGTCGCGCTCCACGCTCAGCCCCATCGCGCGTCCGAGGTCGCCGGGCAGGTGCCGGAGGAAGGTGCGCTCGGCTCTGCTCAGCCCAGCTCGCCTCGCCGCGCTCTGCGGGCCCCGCCGCGGGCGGTGTTTAGATGACTCCTCGGAATACTTCCTCTGGCCGTCTCCTTCCTGCCGGGGAGGAAACGGGGGCTGCGGGTTATCACCACACTCCCACCGGCGGCTGCCAGGGCCTGGGGTGGGGGGAGGATGAGGAGGGAGAGGTGGGCGCGGCTGGAGTTTGGAGGATCCAGGTCCCCGGGGTGGGGCTCTGGCTGCATGCACCCCTGGGCTTCCTGAGGTTGCCGCATCCCCTTGTGCTGTGCCAGCCCCCACCCCACCCCGGGGTGCCCCTGTCCTTAGCCACAGGTCACATTGTATCTCATCTAATCAAAACAAGCCTTGAATGCCAAGAAGGGTGAAGTCAGACCAGGGGAAGGGGCAGGTTGAGGGGGGGAGAAAGGGGGTCTCACTCCTCCCTCCCAGGGTAGACAAACAGTGGGCGCTCCAATATTGCTCCAACACGGCCCGAGCTTGGCCGCTAGTCGGGAGCTCAGGAGGCAGGAACCCCTGGAAGAGTGGACTGGACCTGCACCCTTGCTGGCCCTCCTCCATGAGGGGGTGAGCTGTGAGGAAGAGCGGGATGCTGTACCCCAACTTCCACCATCCAGATGGGACAAAGGGCTGGGACTGGGGCATCCCCCCCCTGCAAGAAGGGATTTACTGCAGGGATTTACTGCTCACAGCATTTTGGGGTGGGGGGCGAGCTAGGAAGGGTGCAGGGCGTGGTCCCAGGCAGGATGCCCGGCAACTTGGGGAGCAAAGGATTCTGGGTGTGTCTTCCTGCTGCGTCCGCACCCTAATACACAATCAGGGGCTCCCCTAGCATCCCCTGTTTGTTCTGGAATTCAGGATGCTAGGGCCCCATGTGCCAAGCAGGCCAAGGGAGGCCAAGGGACAGTATCACCCGACAGGGAGACCCTGGGGGTCCGGATTTTTTTCTAAGATGCACACACGTTTCGGCATTCGTTTCCAAATTTCTTTTGTTTTTGTACCCAGTGAACACACCTCTGAGGGTTGTTTCACCCAGCTGGTGGACGTGGCCTGGTACAAGTTCTGTCCATTTCCCACCGCGGGCACAGGCAGGCTAGGGCTCAGACTGAGCTCCCCCCACCCCCCACTCCCCATCAGCCAGGGTCCTGGAATGTGTGGGGATGGGCTGGGAAGGAGGAAGTGCCAGGGGTGGGCAGGAAACCCCTGTCTGCCCTTTGACCTTTGCAACCAGCCGCAGATTCCGGAACCTTCCTTGCAAGTGGGGGAAGTGGGGGGCTGGGGGCTGCAACCCGTGCCCAACCAGTGGTGTCCTCAGGTTGGCCAGACCCACCCAGAGCACCCCAAAGTAAGGTGGGGTGAGGGTGCCTCCCCAACAGGAACAGAGAATGGCAGTGCTGGGCAATCCAACAACTGCCTGACCCCAGCACAAGTCACTTCCCCTCTGGACGCTGCCAGTTATGAAACGGCCACGTGTGGATGTCAGGGTTGTTTGGCTTGCACCAAAAATACGCACAAAGGTGTCTCCTGTGTTGCATAAACTCTGTTTTCTTTCTCTTTTTCCTTTTTTTTTACGTGCAGATTTGTTCTATGTATTTGAAAGGCAGATCTTCTACTCACTGATTCACTGGCCAAACGGCCACAATGACCGGAGCTTGTCCGAAGCCAGCTTTGTCTGGGTCTGCCACGCGGGCGCAGGGTCCCGAGGCTGTGGGCCGTCCTCCACTGCTTTCCCAGGCCACAGGCAGGGAGCTGGGTGGGAAGCGGGGCAGCCGGGGTACATACTGGTGCCCAGATTGGATCTCGGCACTTGGAGGTGGAGAATTAGTTAGTTGAGCCATCACATAGGCCCCAAAACAAAAGAAATCTTTTAAAACATAAGCTAAAACTGCAGGGGGTGAACTCAGGTTGGGGACGGTGCCAGGACGATGTCAGGGGATGTGACCTCGCTGTGCACTGTGGGTCTTGGGTATTCCCAGTAGACAGGAACTTCAAATGGGTGTCTGGAAAACAGAATTGAAAGACAAATGGTTTGGGCCCGGTGCAGTAACCTAGTGGCTAAAGTCCTTGCTTTGCACACACTGGGATCCAATATGGGCCTGGGTTTGAGTCCTGTATAGTCCATTTCCCACCCAGCTCCCTGCCTGTGGCCTGGGAAAGCAGTGGAGGATGGCCCACAGCCTTGGGACCCTGCACCCGCGTGGGAGACCTGGAGGAAGCTCCTGGCTCCTGGCTTTAGATTGGCTCAGCTCTCAGCCACTACTGCGGCCACTTAGGGAGTGAACCAGCGGGCAGGTCTTTCTGTCTCTCCTCCTCTCTGTAAATCTCTTTCCAATAAATAAATAAGTAAATCTTTTTTTTTTTTTTAAAGCAAATCACAAGTGGTTTTGGTGCCGGAAAGCAAAATCTGCAGTTCAGAATGCTACTTTCTATGAAGTGTGTGCCGGCTCACACATACACAGACACGCGAGTGGCTGGAGAAGGAAAGGAGAGGTGTGCAGCAGTGTGGACCGATGGTCTCGGTCTGAGAACCAGGATTGTAAAGGCGACACGCGGTGAAGGGGATTTGGGAGGGGCGCAACCTTGGGCCTGGGAATTTTAAACCTCCAGCAGCCTCCCGGCGGCTGGCGGGTCTCAGGACGGGGCGTCTCATGCCTGGATTCCGGACGGCCGCCATGGGCACATGGTGAGCCGTTCCGGGCCTGCTGGGTTCCAGAGGCTGCTTCCTTTGGGGTGAGTAGACCGAGGAGGGAGGCCTCTGGGACCCGGCAGGTCCGGCACCCAGCCACCGCCCTCATTGGGCGGTGAAGGGGATTTGGGAGGGGCGCGACCTTGGGCCTGGGAATTTTAAACCTCCAGCAGCCTCCCGGCAGCTGGTGGGTCTCAGGACGGGGCGTCTCATGCCTGGATTCCGGACGGCCGCCATGGGCACATGGTGAGCCGTTCCGGGCCAGTGCGCCATTGGTGCCAGGCTCCGCCTGCTGGCCGCCCGGCTGGGGAGCTCTGGGTATTTGGTTCTTTGATTCGCTGCTTAATTAGCTCCAGGTTGAACCCATTGTGATTCTCGGACCTCAAACAGGCAGTAACTCTTTCTTTGTAAAAGTTGTATTCACTAATAATGCTGGGCACCAAATACCAGTCCATGCAGAAGCCTGGGCTTGGGGCTTGTCCTGCAAAAGTAGCTCCAACGGCTGGCTAATGTGTCAACTGGTAGGGAACAGAGTAGATCTGGTACGAATGAGCAAACCTTAGCCCACAAGTAAAACTAGAAACCAGGAGGGAGCAAAGGTCATGCCAAGCTAGGCTCTTGTACCTACTGGTCTGCAGGAGCCAGGGACACGAAGCCACAGTGTCTAAGGCAGAGGTCGGGACAGGTGAGGAGCTGTGCCAAGCTGAGTCAGAGCAACCACTGGCATGCGAGTGATCTATGGCTGGGAACAGACCCGGTTGGGGAGCAAAGGGGACAACCCTAGCTGGGCTGAGGTTCCCACAAAGAGGCGCGTGGCCTGGAAGGGGGGCTGCGTTCTGATCTGGATACAGTTGTAGTCTCCCTTGGCACAAGTGTGGACTGGGATTGGATGCACCGAACTGGGCTGGACCCCGACTCCCCCTGGTGTTCTGGAGGACCAGGGCAGATGTGTGATAGACTAGGCAAGGTCTCAAACCCCTACTGAGCCATGTGTGAGCCATACGTAGGTATGGACAAACCATGGCTGGGCTGGAACATCCAACAGCAACAACCAGATTGGGTGGAAGGCCAGTCAGGAAAAGCCACAGTTCCTGCTATGACAGGAGGTGGACTGAGTAGGGTTGGCTCATGGACCCACTGGTAAGCGTGTAACCTGGCATTGGGAGAGGTTCTGATGGAGGAGCCTGGGCAACTCCTCTGGCAGGACACAGACCCAGCAGGTAAACGCAAGAAACATGATAGGAAACAGCCCAGAAAAGGCCATGGAAAGCTACCCACTGGCATACACTTGGCAGACGTGGGGGCAAGACCAGGCTGAATCTGTCCACGTCATCCACTGGCAAATCTGGGCACCAGTGTGGGTTGACCCAGGTTCGGTCGCAACAAAGACTAGTGCACAATATGGAATGCCGAGGTGAGGTTGCCTGTACCAGAGGGGACCGCAGCGTCCAACCAGCCTGAGAACAAGAAAGGAAGTAGGCAGAGCCAGCAGGGGAATAAGGGAGGGTTCCTTTGCAGGATAGCTACTTCCGCAGGAGAGCATGGGCTGGGATGGGGGCAGACCAGACTAGGCAGAGCTACCACACCTGCGTGCCTCATGTGGACTAGATCAGGGAAAAGCCGGGCTGGGCTGATTATTCCTACTGGTGCAAACAGAATTAAAGTGGGCGAGGTTTGGTTGGGCAGCAGTAACTGGAATCTGGGAGTGGGAGAGGCCTGGGAGGGCAATAGTGGGCTCATCCCTCTTGGGTTACCACTTCCACGGGAGGACATAAAACTAAACAGTGGCTGGGGTGGAATGGGGTGTGGGACAGACTGGATTACTGCTACACTTACTGGCAAACCAGGGTAGGGGCGGTCCTGGTGGGGGTTATTGTGGGTCGCTCCAACTAGGCTGCAGCTCCCACTGGTTTAGGTGAGGACCAAATATGTGTGGGGCAGAACCAGGCTGGACCGCAACACCCATTGGTTCCAGTGGAAGTCGGGAGTGAAAACAGAACCAACCCAGCAATTACAACCACCAGCTGATTGGAGCGATGGATGGTGCCTGGCCCTGTACTTGTTAGCATATACAAGAAGTTTCTTTGGAGATCTTCCTAATCTAAATGCTGGACTCAGAACCCTAACGAAGAAAAAAGAGAAGACAGAACAGGTCAACCAACCATCTCAGCTATGATGGACTATGTCAATCAGTGGATTTTTCAAAGACCTCATAGTGCTTGGAGTGGCAAGATTGACAGCGATTCATAACTGTTGCAATATCAAAACCACTCGAGCAAGAACCTCAGAGCATGCCCTACACCCGGGACTTGGGGAGGGTGGGAAATTGGGTGGGCCTTCTCCCTTAATAC